CAGTCACGCGACTTTTTTCCATTCTAAATTCAATTGAAGTCATATGTTTCACAACATAAAAAAGATCAACGATCGATCTTGTCACATGTGATAAAACGAATGTCCACTATGCTACATTCTTCTGACCCCAAACATTCATTTAAAATTTTCTTTGCTACTTCTTTAAAAACGCATATATATCACCTATCAACACTTGTTAAATATTTGAACAAATACAGCTTCATGATAAACTAGAATAAATTTCATTCATCCTCTTCATCCTCTTCATCCTCTTCTATTTTTGTAATAGTAACACTCCAGATATAATTTCATAATGTTGACACAGATTGCATTTATAATTTGATTCTAATTCAAAATAAAAAATAAAACTATTAGATTAATAAGCTAGAAGTTGTCAGTTATGTTTAAAATACTTAGACTTGAATTTGGTTCATTTTTATAAATATGTATGTATATATATATATATATATATATTTACATTTATAGATCAGTTATTTGACTGTTTCTAAGTATTTTTGTCCCACCATATACAGTGGGAAGATTTGGTGGACTTTTTTATTATTATGAAACTTACCCTGTGAAGATTTGGTAGACAATGTAAAGAGTATATAACAAAAATAAAAAAAAATTTTTTAGAAGAAAAATAAGTTTTTATGAAATACAAAGTATTTTTAAGAATATCATTAGTAAAAAAAAATTTATTTTACTAAAAAAAATGATATGTTTACTATATAGTGAATTAAACTATATACTTTTTGCATTGTATTATGTTAAAATAAATGGATCAGCACTAATGTGTGCACAACCCCCTTAAACTGTGCACAATGAGACAAAAATTTTTGTGCAGACTCTCCACAAAAATTTTAAATATAGTGCACAAATTCAATGAGAAATTTATGCACTATTACATTTATATATATATATATATAATGCACAAAAAAAAAAATCAAAAAACTAAACTACTTACAATTTGTTGTGTATACATGCACAATTTTTAAACAACTTTTGCATAAATCCTCAAAAAATTTTGTGCAACAAGATGTATCTAAATAATTAAAAGGGTTCCCAACTAATAATTAAAGGTTTGTCAGACCATCAATCATTAAAAGGGCTGGGGGTTAACCACGCTGTGTTTATTAGTTATAGAGTTGCCTTTCTAAACTAGTTTAGAAACCCTAAACTACTTTCAAAACTAACCCGAAACTCCTAAACTGTTTTTATGACATATGATGGGTAGCCATGATTATCAAAATCATTCATTTTCTCTATTTTCTCTTCAAGTGACCAAAGTTTTTATCATTTTATTTTGATATTATTGTCTTGACAATTAATTAATTATTAAATCATTGGTTTAGTTTAAAAATACAGACCCAGACACTTTACTGACACCCAATTTACTGACAGGACACTTTACTGACACCCACTTTACTGACAAGACACTTTACCAACAGGACACTTTACTAACAAGTATTGTGTTAACAATTTGCCAAGGACTGTGTGAAGACCTGGATAACTAGCTAAAAGTTTGGTTT